TCTTCTTTGTGTTTCACATTTCAATATCAGTGGAATTAATAATATCAATGTTATTTGAATTTTTTATGTATACTTTAAATTTGATGCAACTATTAATGACAACTTGTGTATTAAACTTTAACAAGTTAATTTTAAAGTTTTTACAATGTTCAAAATTTGCTGTTTTAGCGACGAGATTCATAAAATCGTACAAATCAATGTTATCGTTATTGATCTCCATTAACGCGCCAACACATTTATCTCTAAATAGATTATCCAAATGTGTATTTTCAATAGTCAAATTTTGAATCAAGTCAACATCTTTGTTATAAAATAGACTCTTGTTAAATTTGCAATTTCTAAATACAACATTTTCGTATAATGAATTCGCTTTCATAAACTTGACATCGCCACTCGAATTGGTAATTTCAAGATGTTTAGTTCTCGAAGAAAATATCCATCTAATGCCGTTGTATTTGTTTATAGTGACATGAACAGCTAAAATTGGTTTTTCGTAATTAATTGTTTTATTCGATTTATCCACATCATCACAATTATCAACTTGTAAGTTGCCAATTAACACCCCCGACAAATCAATCATTTTTCCAATGAAATTTGAAATGCTCAGAACTGACAAATATGAAATTTCGGTTGAAATTTTTAAGCTTTGACAAACGCAGTTTTGAACGTAACAAACTGATTTAGTGACTAAAAGTGTTACATCTTGTGTTAAAATTGATTTGAGTTTGTTGATTTTAGTAGTGTCATATTGGGAAATAATTGATTCTTCTTGTTCATTAAATTGACGTGTTAAATACCTTTGAGCTTTTATGTACTCCATTTTAAAATCATTGAATTTAGACAATGTCATACCTTCATTTATATCTTTTTCTTTATAAGTCTCAATAGTTTCGATTGGCAATTCAGTGTTTTGTGGAAACTCAACAGAACACTTTCCAACATAAACACAACTTTTCACACTCTGAAAATCACCAGTAAATACCAAATTTTGTGAAGACTCAATTTTGATGTTTTTTAATTGTTCTTTTTTGAATACAAAATTCAAATTCTCACAAAATGCGACCTCCAAAATTTCGCAATTATCAAAAGTTGTGCTGAACGAAAAACGACAGACACTAAATAGTTTAAGATGTTTAGTGTATGTAAAATCGATTGGTAGAAACTCTGAAGTGTCGAACAGATAAACACTTTTCGCATTAAATTGTGTTAAATTATTGAAATTGGTATTTTCAATGATAACATCGCCTATTCCAACATTTTTCGTCATTTTCACATTACTGCAATTTTTTAATAAAAGTTTTTTAATTGTGTTTTTTTCAACAGCAATAATTGGCGTTAAACACTCAAAAAATTCCAAATTGAGTGACTTTGGCTTTGCATTAAAAAATTCGAAATTTGTGTTGTTGCACTGTTTAAAAGAAAAAGTGTTGAATATGTTACAATCGATGTAAAATGATGATTTTGTAACATTATTTATATTTAAATGTTCGCAATTTTGTCCAATAAATATTTCAATATTTTCAGAATTATCACACACGTTTAGTGTTGTTAAATGTTCAGGTGTTTTAAAATTGATATTTGAGCAATTGTGGAGTTCAATTTCCTCGACATTAGGAAAGGGGAAGTTGTTATACATTTTCCACTTTTTCGTTATATCATTAGTTGTATCATCTTTAGCGACTTTTCGCAACACAAAAGTTGAGTTTGTAACTTTGACTTTTTTAACTGTTGGCATGACATCCTCAAAAATCAAATCAATTTCAGTTAATGACAAATTTTCAATATTCATATTAATAGGTAACCAAACAGTATGCCTTTCATCTGTAAATAGCGAAACACTGAGGTCATTCACAAATTCTGGAATTGCCAATTTTGAAAGATCATCAAACGTTTTGAGTTCAACGAGTGTCGAATAACACATCTTAAAAATATCAACAACTGTTGTGAAGTACTCTTCATCGTCATATCCATCAATTTGAACAATTATTTTTTCTTTATAAAATGGTCTAACAAATTGAAACGTTTTTGGTGTTATTTTTTGTGTGTAATTTTGGCAATTTGGAGTCAAACGCAATTTCTCTGGTTCAGTTGTGTCAGTCCAGTCGATGATTATCTGACTCTTATACTTTTTAGCAGCAGAATTTACATTTTCATATAACGGTGCGGTGTCGGTATTATAATTGGTATACATTGAATCGACGTGCAACAACACCTTTTTGGGGAAGTAAATGTCGTTATTATTCGTGTTGTTGTTGCGTTCAAAACAAGTAACACATTCACTAAACAACTTTAAAGGCATTTCTATGTTTGGTATCTTCCATTTGTAGAGCAGATCATAATAATTGTTTTCCGCATTAAAGCCAATTTGTTGATTTGTGTCAACTGGTTTGGGTGGTTTGATGATAATCAAAGAAGTGATTTTTTCGGCAATATTTTGCTCGTCAAGTTTGTTAAAGTCGGTTGAAAAGATTTGAACGTTTCGAATGTAAACGGCATTTTCGAGGACTTTTCGAGAGACAGCTAATGAATTGCAATTCACCGTGTCAGGAAAAAAGAAAGCACAAAACGTTTCAATGTCATTGGATTTGGAGAACCAAGGATTCACTTTAAGTGACGTGACAGCATCTTGGCATTTTTTGTTAATAGTAATAAAAGTCATGATGTCTTTTAGTGAAGGTAAATAGAGGGAAACTTGCATCAAATAAATCATTTCCATATTTGACATCTTTTGAATTATTTAGTTTGAATTTGTTTATTTTAATTTGATGTTTAAATAAAACTATATTTTACTTATAAAATGTTATTCATGTTCAGTTTTTAGTCAGTTTGAAAATTATAAAGTAGATTCGTATTATTTACAAAAAATCAACAGATAAAAAAAAATCCGTCATTACAAATTTAAAACATCTCAAAACTCGAAAACTTTATTTTAAGCCAATTGTATACAAAAGGAATATTGATAATAATTGATTTACGATTGTTAGACAAAAGTTACAAGTAAGTTGTTGTTTTTATTAAAAATTCTTATTTAAAATGTATAAACCAGTTTTTTTTGTTTAACCATGGATTAGTGTTTAAAAAATATACACCGTCATTTCAATATTTGAGTTGTTTTATTATTATGGCTCTTGTTTGTGAAAGACTTTTTATAGTATTACAATTAAAACATTTTAATTTATTTACTGAAAAAAAAATAAAAACTTTATAGACTTTTATATTAATAAAAAAGATAGTCTTTTATTTTAACTGTATAAATCATAAGAGTTAGTTATTATTATTTTTTGTAATATTTGTAAACAAATTCATTTATGTTTATTGTTAAATTTTTTTGTACATCTTACTTTTAAATAAGTTGTTATTTTTCCTCTTCACCTTAAAAAAGAAGTACAAAAGAATATAAGTAAAGTCTGTCTAAAAACGTTGTCCGCTTGTAAAAAGTTGTCCATTTGACAAAATTTTACACAAAATAAGTTATAAAATTTAGGAAATAGGTAAAAACGATCAAATCCCGGTAAAAATTATGAAACAATGTTTTGGGAATGTTTCGAATTGTTTCCCGAAATATTCCATTTTTGATGGTCCAAAAATGCCTGGACAACGTTGGAGAGAGGACAAAGTTTTCAGACTGACTATAATATATTTTAATTGATTATTTATATAGTCTATAACACTTTGTTATTCTTTATCGTTATTTAGGATTTTTAAACATTAATCTTAGGATTTCGTTAAAAAACAAAATAAATAACATTCCTTTCTAACAAATGATAAATATCCAAATGAAACAAATCTAAAAAATAACATGGTGTTTTTAAATGTAAAAACAATTTCTAAATATTGTTTTTAATAATAAACTATTAATTATAAAATTGTTATAATTAAATTAACTATATTTCAAAAATATCCCCCAAAATAGCCTTTTCCATTAAGTTGGCTTAAGAAACTTTAAGAGAGTCAGTTATCAAACATTGTTAAGTGGACAAAAAAATAGTTTTAATATTATGTAAACATCGGGCATTAGGTAAAAAATTAAAAGACCCGAAACAATCATAATAGAAATTTGAGAGGGCTTCCCATAATATTCCAATTTTAATGGTTTGAAGATAACCAGATATAGTTAGAGATAAGATAACGTTTAAAGACAGGCTGTAATGAAAAAAATGAATGTAAATATATTAAAATATTCAAAAATATACAAAGTCCATGTAATAACAAGAAAATAAAAACGTTACTTAACATATAAAACAACAAAATTTCAAAATCTAAAAACAACCAAATGCCAATTCGCCTTGAACGTTACTATGTTATGATCGTTTCTAAATATTTCAAAGACATTGGGGACTTCATTAAGTTGGTCCACGTCTGCAAAAAATTTGCTGAAATCCCCGCCATGTTTCACTATAATCCTGTTTCTATGAAAGGCAAAAATAAGTTCTTTTCGAATGTTGAAACACTTCATATGTATTCCAAATATGATGAAGACGATGACAGATATAGTAAATGTGTATACGAATATCTATTGTCATACTCGGTATATTTAGAACTCAAATCCAATTGTTCAACTTTAAAAAAGTTCGATACACAAACGCCGATTATTTAAAATACAAAACTTTTGAAGGTGCTACAATACTTTCTAATGGGTGTTTCAGTTTTGAATTTCTATCTTCAACTCAGCAAATATTTGACATGCACAATATACTCTCATTTGGTACACAATGTTTTTATAAAAACACTTCGCTTCAAGAAATTCATTTAGACAAACGCCTTACAGTACTTCCATTTAAATGTTTTTACTGTTGTAGGAACCTTAAAGAGATTGACCTTTATTATGTGACAAATATTGGTGAAAAATGCTTTGAAGAGTGTTCCAATTTGTCTTCCATTACTCTTGCAAAATCATTAAATTGCATCGGATCAAATGCATTTTTTCATTGTTACAACATCAAAAACGTGACGACAAATGGGTTAAAAAAATTGAACACTTTGATCAACTTTTCAACTTTTGAGGCATTTAAAAAATTGGATCCCACTATTTCATTGTCATCTTATGACGTTTCTCATTGGAAGAATTCACTAAACGCTTTATTCGAGTATCCCATTTCACATATAGAGTCCAAAGCGTTTTTTAATAAAGGTATAATTAATGAAGGAAGTATTCCAAATACTTTAACATCCATTGATTGGAACAATTTAGATTGTATAAAAATACCAAATATGGATTTGCGAAACGTCAGTGTTGTTGGTGAATTCAATAACTATAATTATGCAGTCACTGCAATTACTATATCATCACAAATACAATTTAGAGATTTATATAAACTTCAAAATTTAAATAAAATTGATGTGATCAACAGAAGTGAAACAAAGAAATCCTACAAAACTGCAGCTTGTTTTATGCGAGAGATGCTTATGAGTCAAAATTTAGAGAACGTTGACTATATCTTTACTGGAAAAGACGTAGAAATTTTCAATGGAAAAGTCCCCAGTTTTTGTAACCAAATTGATAGATACGCATTTATAGATAGACAAATAACAAATATAGAAATACACGAAAAAGTATTTACCGACTTTGAAATAACAAATTGTCAAAAGCTTGAAAAGGTTGTTATTCTTTGTTCGTGGTATAATAATAATTCTTCAAATATAGATAATTGTGATCAATTAAAAGAAATTGTTTTTTTGAGCAAAAAAAATTTGTTTGTAAAAAAATGCCAAAACTTAACAAAGGTAACTTTACTCAAAATACCAAAATGGTCTAATTATAAAAATACCAACTTTGTACAATGTGAAAAGTTAAAAGAAATTGTTATACAAAACGAACCAGAAAATGGAGTTCATAAAAAGGTAGTGAGTGAACAAATATACGATTTTTTGAAAGACAAATACAAGTTTGAAAAGGGATTTGTTAAAACTATTGATTAAATCATTGGTGTAAGTCTGTTAATTTTATCACGTTTACAACATGTATATAAACATCGCTTAACTTAAATTGTAAGTTTAAAAACAATTTTAAGATTCTAATTACTACACTCATTATATAAAAAATGTGAAGAAAAAACCATTTTTATTATTAATTTATATTTTTTTATTTTATACTTATAATACATATTTAAACTTTTGTTTTTATCTTTTTTAAAATTTTTAACCGTTTTATATCAATTGTTTTTTTAATATTCACTAAATATGATTAAGATTTAAAAAAAAGCATTTAAAAAAATAAAATAAGAATAAAAACAAATGTTAAAAAATCAATTTTAACATGAATCGGTGACTCCATCGTTTCCCGAACCTGTTCCTGAACACGGCTCACATTTTCCCGAAGTTGTGTTAATTTTTTCTTTGTTGGAGCAGTGTGCCTTAGTTACTGTGACTGTGCAAAAAGAAGTTGACATATAGTTATCAGACACATACACAACGACTTTATTTGACAAAGCGTTTTCATCACATTTTGGCTTTGTAGTACCATGGTAAAATATGGTCTTCACACTTCCACTAAAAACCTCTTCGCCAAGGGTACTTAACCCTTCGTACAAATGGATAGAACTAAGTTTAGAACACCCTTCAAAAGCGTGTTGTTGGATGTATTTGATGCTCTCCAATCCTGACAATATACTCAATTGTGTAGTATCTCTGAGCATATACGGCACTACTTTGTCAGCTCCGTTAAAATTGACTGACGCAACTTTACTCTCCTCAAACGCATTTTCTCCAAATTTGGTTGTTGGGTTCAAAGTGATTTTATGGAGTCCAGACAACGCAAAGGCGTAACTCCCAACACTTTTGATGTTATCGAAACTGAATTGTGTGAGTGCAGTGCATCCATTAAAAGCACCACTTGCGATGTCCGTGATGTAGTTTTGGCCTTGTATCATGTTTAGTTTCGAACACCCGGCAAACATTTGTTTAGGAATTGTCATGTCGTCTTTGATTATAACGGAAACAAGACTCTTACAATTGATGAAGACGTTAATACCATAATTCGTTGAGGAAGTTAAAGTGAAAGTGCTCAGAAAAGTGCTATCGAATGAATAAGAGCCTATAGATGCGTATCCACCCGGTGCTGTTATTGTTCTTAGTGGAGCTTGCTGAAAAGCAGAAGAACCAATTGTGACTGCAGAATTGGACTGAAAAGTCACTTGAGAGATTTGGGAGTTAGTGAAGCCATAATCGGCTATGCATGTGTATTCCTTCGGAATGATAACTGCGCCCGAGCATTTTGAAGTCACTTCAGCTTTTACACAGCCACTATAGTCAATGAAAAGAGAACAATCCGCCAAAGAAGAAACAAACAAAAGAGGAATGAGGAACATCATCTGTTTTTATTAGTATTTTTTATTAACGTGTTGGAGCTTTGTTTTTTTTCTGTTTTATATCAAAAATATTAAAAAGTTGATGTTTTATTTTTTACCACGTGTAAAAAAATAAAATAGAAGAAACTTGTTTGAATTCTTTGAGGATTTTAATTATTTATTTAAGTTAAACTAATATTCAAATGTAGGCAAAAAACAATAAGATATTCGAATTGTAATTTTTAGTCTTAGAATAATTAATACACTCATTTTTAAACAAATAAAAAAACAAAAAACAAAAAACAAAAACAAAAACAAAAACAAACAAACAAACTTCACAGTATGAACATTTTAGTGTTAAGACGACAATATAATTGTTTTACACTTTGTTTTATTATTGTGTCTGTCTAAAAAAGTTGTCCATTTGACAAACAATTACAAAAATAAGTTGAAAAAAATTGGGAATTAGGAAAAAAGTTGAAATCACAGTAAAAATTATAAAACGGTGTTTTTGAAATGTTTTGAACATTTTTCCTTAACATTTCATTTTTGATGTTCCAAAAATGTTCAGACAAAGTTATTAGACTGACTATATTTTTTTATTTTTATATTTTTATAATTTTCAAAAGCCAACACATTGAAATGTAATGTCAATCTCAAGGTGAATAATAATTTATTTTTTAATAAATAATTGAAAATATTCTTTTTTGAATTTAAAACTTTTGAATAAATTAAAAGGCTTTAATATTTATTGAAATACTTTAATTAAAATAAAAAAGACTTGTTTAAAATCCTAAATATTTTTTCAGGTTTTGTCTGTACTTTTCAATTTTTTGTGTTTCCTGTTTTTCATTTCTTGTCAATTTGACAACAATTTGTCCTGTGTCTTGATTTCCATCTTTGTCCAATACAACCAATTTGTTTTTTCTATTTCATCAACCTCAAACTTAAAAATAATTTTATCCCAAAAACTGAACCTCAGAGTTGTTTCGAATATTTTAATCAAACTTCTGTTTTCTGCAAGTATGACTGAAACGGTTGGTGTGATTGTTGGGACACTAAAAGTGACGTTTTTTACTTATAATTGTGTTCCTTTAGTAATCAAAGTAACTGATATATTCCTGTTTATTTTGTTTGTGGATATCAACTGTTGTCATCAACATATTCACATCTCTTGCTGTAATTTGTGTGATATGATTTTTAACTGATTTCGTGTCTCGTGCATACAAACAATCTCCTTTAGCGACGACCTAATTACCGTCTTCACACTCCAATAATGGTCGAAAAATAATAGGAAAAACTCTTCTCGACATTTCTTTCACTTTAAGTATTTGAGAACTTCCACCAATTAAAATGACACTTTTTATTGTAGAAGATCGTACATTACATTTTCAGATGTTTTGTTTATCGTTTCTTCACACCTTTGAAAAAGTGACAAACAACACTCTTCCAAAATATCACGAGAAATTATTATTGAAAATGCACTGCCAAATTTGGTCAATTTCAGTGAAACGTTTTCTTTGACAGACAACTCGATCTTTCCATTTTCAATTATTTTTTAAGTGATTGCCTTCGTGATACAATTTTCATTTGTATTGTCACGCCATCGCCATTTTGCACTTCAAACAAGTTGTTTACCTCATTTTCATTGTATTCCTCCCACTCATTAACAATATAATCCAGAAGTGCAATATCGATGTCAACACCACCAAGGTTTTTATCTTTATGAATAACACAAAATTTAATATGACTACCAGTTTTCTCGCCAATTAGTGTTTAAAGTTCCTCCTTTAAAATCAAAGAAAAAGATCATTCCATTAAGTATATTATTCAAAGAATAATTATGTGCAGCTGCTGTAGGTTCTGATTCTTCAAATGACATCAATGTCCGCTATTTTTGCTGCTTCTTCGGTTGAGTTATTTGTTTTTAATCGAAAAAGACGGGTGTGTCACAACAACTTTTATTGACTGTCTTTGGGGATCGAAATCCACACTTTCAACAATTTGCTTTTTGACATGACTTAAAATGATTGCAGAAATTTCAACGGGCGGACTGGTGTTGGGCGACCTTGGAAAGTCGTGTTAAAATAACATAAACCGTCGGCGTCTTTTAAAATATCAGTGTAATTTGATTTGATGTTTACAATTGAACTATCTTTAAAAACAATACCTAAAAAACTTTTAACTTCTGAAATGCTTGTAATCGATTCGGTCGCTACTTTAACTGGATAACTTTTAAAATCAACAGCTAAACGAATGGATTGATCTTTAGAAGAAAAGGTTAAAGTTTTGACACATTAAGACGCTTTGGAATAATAAGCAGTTATAGTATATGTTGTGCCAAGATCAATACCAAAATATACACTTTCTTTTTCCATTTTGATTTTTTGATTATTTTTGTTTTTATTTTAAAAAATTAAAATGATTTAGAGTTCAACGTTGTTATTAAATTGTTAAGGTGTAGTTTAATAAATGAAGTTTTTATTTAAAATGATTTTTATTTATTATAAATATAATTTAAATTTAAAATATTTTTTTTATTAATAATATATATATATAGATGATTGACTGATTTTTAGAATTTTGAACTTATGTTACGTTTATGTATTTGTTTGGTTGGGTATTTTTAAAAACTCGTTTAATATCCGATATTCTCTATTGGTATATGAAAATAATTGAACATAATTGGCACTTTTAAAAAATGCAGTCTCAACTTTTATATTTTGTAAAGAAAATAAAAATATAAAAACAAAACTTTAAACAATTTTAAAAAATCAGTTGGTATTAGACTTATCATCTAAAGTTTATATTTACTTAAGTTATTCTTTTTGTGTGATTCAATTACTGTGCTGAAATAAAAGTAAATTAATGAAACCCAAAACCACCACGGAAAGCATTTTGAGCAAATCCCGTTGGTGCTCCAAATTGATTTTGTTGTGGAACATTTGCGGCTTTGACTTGATTCAGTCGTAGTGTCAGCGCAGTCATTTCATCAAAAATTTCGACATCATCACATTTTATTTGTGTAACGATTTCTGGTTTCTTCGACATCACAAAACACCTTTTGCACATTTTCAAAACGACGTGTTCTGTCTCATTCCCAACAGTAATAACAAGATTTTTGCAGTTTTCAAAAGTTGCCGATTTAGACATTATAGCCATTTGGTAAGGTATATTATCAATGTTTTTCATCACCAAATTGTTCACACATCTTTTCTCAAATAATGAAGGAAATTCGGTTGAGTCAAAACACAAATCGTTGACATTTTCATACAAACCAGAGTTGTTAAACGTTTGAATTTGAGATCGTTCGAAGTTGAGTCGGTTGAAATTTCCCAGCCCATACGAAAAAATGATATACCCATTTGACTCGACAATGTCAACTTCTTTTGTTTTACTCATCAATCCAATACTAAAGTTGGTACACTGGTGAATTTTTAGTTCAACCACGTTGAGCATGAAGTTATTTTTCATAAATTCAAAAGGTGCGACAAAATTGCAGTTTTTCATTTCTACTCTTCCAAATGCACTTGTAGAGAAATTTGGGAACTCCCCAATGAAATTTTCAATTTTCAAATTTGGAATGAAATCAACGTGTTGTTCAATACTGAGTGCTGTGCACACACAATTTTTGATTATAAAATTGTGACTATTAATTGTAACACTTTCAGTTGTAACATTTGGAGGAAGTGTTGGATTAACACTACAATAACTTTGTTGTGCATCAACAACTTCGTTAAAAATATTTCGTCGTTCGGGTTGTCCTATAAATCCAAAACTATTTCTGTTATTTCCAAAATTCATTTGGAACAAATTAAAATTGTTTTGATTTGGGGGAACTGTTGTTTTGGGGTATCTTAGTGAAGATGTTCTTAAAAAAAGCGTGTCGTCTTTTGTCAAACATTTTTGCTTTACTTCTTCATATTTTTCTAAAGTGCTAAATTCACAAGTCTCACTTTCATTTAATTTTGAAAGACAAATTATGTGTTTTGATAAATTGAAATCCGATGGGAAAGTGTATGTTGAATCATAATGTTCTACTTTTTGAAGGGAGTTAAAATTTCCTTTAAAATCAATTGCTTTCGATGAAAAAATTCCCAGCTGTTCTATTTTTGAATCACCAAAAATAAAATCGCAGTCACGGCAATACTCGATTTTAACAATTTCACATTTATCAAATGTGTTTGAAAATATAAAATTCTCGATATTGAACAACAACACACTTTTTGTATGGGTAAAATCGATATCTACATATTCCAACAAGGCTTCAAATACAACTTCTTCTGCTTCGACACCAACTTTCTTTTTGAGCGTCGAATTTGAAATCACCAACTTCCCAATTTTAGTGTTTTTCGCTATTTCAAAATTTGTTGAATCGTAGACAGACAAAGACTTAATGAAATCTGTTTCCAATGAGATTTTTGAATTTAAAGAATTTATTATTTTGACACTTAAATTTGTATTTTTGGTATTCAAGAAATTGAATGTAAAATTTGGACACATGTTGAATTCAAAAGTTTCACAACTTTCGCAGTCGATGTTTAAAATGCAGTTAGAACAGTTTGTACAAGTAATATTTTTTGCACAGTCTTTATTAATAAACAACTCAACATTTCTTACATTAAAAAGTGAAAGTTTTTGTAACGTTTTAAATTGTTCATAACAAACATCACTAAAATTGACCAATTTCAACTCTTCGACATTGGCAAATGGAAATTGTTGCTTGTTCTCCCAAATACGTTTTTTATTACACTTTTCGAGTAGTTCCATTCGTTTATTTTTAACTATTTTGGCGTTTGTTATTTCAACCTTTTTAACAGTGTTAAAACCCTCCGAAAATTGGAAATTAACACCTTCTGTTACAAACTCTTCAACGTTCAAAACATCAGGAAGCATCACAAAGTTGGTTTGTTTATGTTCGACTCCAAATGAGTTTGGTGTAAATCCATTTTTTAGTGAAATTGATTTGACGAATTTTGGTATTTGCAAAAGACTCAAATCACAAACGCCACCCATAAAAGTAATTTTTGTTGCAACACTTTTTCCAATGATTTTTTCAACTTTATGCAAATCAGAAATTTGCGTCAAATTTTTTGTTTGAAATGTCAACGAATTGTCTCTGATGAATGGTGTATAGTAATCTGCATATTCTATACTAATATTGTTTGAATAATTTCGACAATTTTGTGTCAAAGTAACTTTATCCATTGATGACACACTATTTGTCCAATCAATATCAATTTGTGTTGCATATTTTAAAGGAAGTTCGTTAATTTTATTAAATGGAATATTAATGGGTCCATTTGTTGTTGTTCCAAATGCATTTGACCCGAATGAATTTGACCCAAAATTCATATCAAAATTAACAAAAACGTTTTTAGGGAAAATCTTTTTAAAGTTGTCACGAGTTTCATACTGTTCAAAGAAGTCGATAAAATATATGAAATAGTTGATTGACATAGTTATCTTTTGGCGAAAAGTTTCTATAATCATTTGAAACAGTTTTTGTGGGGTGTTGTTCTTATTCACAAATGTGCGCATAATATTTAAACTTGTCATTTTTTCACAAATTTCTGGTGTTATTTTTTCGATCATTTCAGGAGTGCCTTCTAAAATGTAATTTCTGATATAAATTGGTTTTAAAAGATAATCAAAAGATATTGGTAAGAAGTTGCAGTTCAACGTGTCGGGGTGGAATAAATCGTAAAACCTTTCAATGTCTTGTGTTAGAGTAAACCACGGGTTCACCTTAAGAGAAGTCACTGCGGAATTGGCGCAATGGTTCACTTGAATAAAGGTATATACATCGGACAGTGTTGGGAGATATAGAGATACTTGCATTAAATATATCATTTCAAGGCGCGACATCTTTTTTATTTGAAATTTACGAGTAACAAGTTTTTAAGTTTTAAAATAATGAGGTTTTGGGTTATTTAAGAAATAGAACAATTTCGAAATCAAATCAAACAAAAACTTTAATTATTAAATTTGATATTTTTATTATAATAATTGTTGTAGTCATGTATTGAACTAATTTTAACTTTCAACATACCCAACACCAATTGATTAATACTGATAAAAAATGTTGCGTTTGGGGGATCTACATTGACCACTAACGATCTTTCTTTTGGACTAACGTGCAATTTTTTCGAGAATTGTAACTTAGTTGCATTATTTTAAAGTTTATAAGTAAAGTTTTTTTTTTGCTTTTTTAACACTTTTTTAACCAAAAACCTTTTTTTTATTAAAGGTCAAGTAAATTTTTATTTGTCTAGTATATATTGGGTCGGTTTCATGCACTTCGCTTTGTTGGTGCATTTAACCGACTCAATATGCTTAGTTAATTAGTTCCCTTCCTTACCTATTAAAAAATAAATAATCAAAATTACTATAAAAATAGTCATTTTTTAGATCTATTTTTTAAAATAAAAAATTTAGAATAAGTTAAACAAATTAAAGAACGGTTTGAAGATATAATTAAAAATAATAACCAAATTAAAGAATTCTAAGTAAGATTATTATTAGATAAAAACGATGAATGGGAAGAATTTTTGGAGAAGATAACAATTAAATTATTATTAGTAAAATCCAAAACAAAAATTGAAAAGCAATCTGCTTCTTTAAATAAATTATTAATTATACAGGGGTGAAACTGAAGGTATAAATTTGAAAGCGGATGTATTAATTTAGGGTTTTTGATACCAAATTTGGCGTTTTTCTTGGTTTTATGATTCGTAAATTAAGCCAACCCCTTTGATTTGAATTTGGCAATGAAAAACAATGCAAACAAAATGAAAAGAATCAATAATTATGTTTTGTAACGATACCAACATATTAATATTTTAATAGTATTTTAATTATATCAATGGTTATATAAAAATTCATCAAGAATTTGTGTGTTTTTAATAATCAGCTAAAGTTAAAAAATGAATCAATAGTAATAATTGTTATAATTAAACCATTATAAATAGTTGACGGTGTGTTATAGTAAATTTGTTATTATATAATTGTATTTTCAGGGTTTAAGACAAAACACAATTCGTTTACAACTTGATAAATATTTTAAGTGTATTTTAATGTGTGTGTGAGTATCAGCTTTATGGTTTGTTTATTTATTTATTATCACCGCAGTTATTTAAAAATGTTATATTGACGTTCAGATTGGTTAATGCAGCTCATTATTACACTTTGGTTTGTGTTTTTCATACGCAGGCCGGTCGTGAAGGCCTTGAAACACAACCCAAAGTATCGTAAATCATTTTTATGTCGAGTGTTGTTTGAATAATAACCAAATAATGATAAATTTATTATAAACATGAATAATATAATGTATAGTAAATATTTAATATTGTTATAATTTTTATAATTTTGTAACTATAATATTAACTATATTTTCCCTTTCCAAAAATCGTGACTGTGTTGGAAATAGTGGTTTTTGTCCAATTTTACTTGTTTTTTGTTGTAGTTATGTCGCATCATATGGCTTGAATTTAATGATTTACATGTTAGTTAGTTTTTGGCCAATAGATTAAAAGAAAATGAACCCTAAATTAATATATTCGCTTTCATATTAATACCTTCATTTTCACCCCTGTATATGAAGAATCTCTTAATATATTTGAACAAGTTCCTGATTTGAATACTATTTATATTAATCATATTGTTTTTGAACTATTTGTTAATTAGTTAGTAAATCATTAAAAAATAATGATGAAATATTACTTAATTGGGATACAAAGGATGATTTAAAACATAAGACTACTTCATCTTCATCTTCATATTAAATTATTAATCAATTAATTAATAATGAAACAAAGAAATTGGAATCTATGATCTAAAAACCTATAAATAATTAATATTAATGAATAATTAGAAGCTGTATCTCAACTTATGTTTAAATTTTTGAAATTCATTAACATAATATTAACATTTTTAACATGATATACCCATATATACCCAATAATTCTCCAATATAAATCACGTGTGGTGGTTATATATTTTTTAAGTAATAAATGGAATTACGAAATAATCTAAATAAATTTTTAGAAACAAAAAACACTTCAAAATGTAAACTAAATATTCGAGATTTAAGTGAACACACCAAACGGACTGAAAGTCCTAAGAAACAAAGTTTGGAAGATGTGTTTATACCGATAGTTGAGCAAAGCACTCAGCAAAGCATTGACACACATATAGATATACCTATGTCAAAGACTGAAAATTTTATGTTATTAGATTATATACAAATTATTGAAAATATAATAAAGAAATATAATTTTAAAAAATAGAAAGAATTAAAACAGTGTATTAAAGAAATACATAAATATATTTATAATAATGCACAAGTAAATAAGCTAGAAACTAAAGAACTTAATGCTAGTATTTATATTAAAGGATATATTTTTTGTAAAAAAAGGTAAACAATAATTAATTAAAAAAAGAATTAGAATTGGAGAGAAATGATTAAATGAAGAGATGGATAAAAACAATGAAGATATAAATATAAAAATGTCAAATATTGAGCAAAGCATCATGTCAAATGAAGAATCATTAAGAAATTCAGTATATGAATTAACAAATAAGTTAAATATATTAAAAGATAAATACATAAATATATTTAATGATTTAATTATTCCAATATTAAGATATTATTTAATTACTAATAAACTAGATAAAGATGAAGTAATTAAAACAATTAATAAATATGATAAGAGAATGGTAATTTTTTTATAATATTTAGTTCTCTTTTAAATAAAATTACCAGTTCTATTTTAGACTCCATATTTATTTATTATATATAATAAAGTTAGAAAAATAGAACGACACAAAATTAACTAAATTGTGAGGATGTTTTATATTATAAAAGAGTGCATGTATCAGCACGATTTATATACAACGAAAAATGACCTGATTTTTATAGAAATTTATATTTTTTATTTTTTTAGTAGGAAGGAAGGGAACTAATTAACTAAGCATATTAAGTCGGTTAAATGAGCCAGCAAAGCGAAGTGCATGAAACTGACCCAATATATACTACAGTCTTGAAACTTAGTTTTGTATTTTTTTTGCTTAAAAACCCAATCGAAACCGAAACTTGCCAACGGACAGTTTCATTTTATTTAAAGAAAGTGTAATTTAAGACTAAATTACCTAAGAGTTGGAGTTAATTGTGTTTAAAACCAACACGCATAACAATTTCATTTTGAACCCCAAAAATTTTAAAACCAAAGAAATTATTCATCGTCATTGTGTTAGTTTTTCAATTATTCATATATTGGTTCTTTGCACAACACTACATGGTAATTTGCTTGTTTAAAATCTGTTTTGCGAGTCTTTTTAACGTTTCATATTTACAGTGTCCACTCGCTCGATGAAACTATTCTGCTTTTTTTAAATCTATAATTAGTTTTATTTTATTATTCAATTAAAATAAAAAGCCCAAAAGTCTATTATTTCTAATATATTTTTCAATCAAAAACCCATTTATATTACGTTTTAATTATGTTGGCGAATAAACTTATTTGGTAAAAATATAGAAAAATTAATATCTCCAAGAAAGAATTGGATTATAAAAAATGTTAAATAAAACATTTTAATACAAACATAATCATTCAATTCTGCTTTTTTTAACGGTATTTTTTTTAATTTTGTCCCAAAATTGTTTAAATAATTTGGAATTAATAGTGAGTGATTTTCCTAAAAAAATAGATAAAAATTAATAATAGATAATAAACTGTTTTTCAAAAGTCGGTACTGTCATATTTTTAGAACTTCCTAAAGTCCCGTTTTTTATTTTTGTTTTTTCCTAAAAAAACAAAAAACAAAAAATCGAAAGTACCGACTTTATTTTGAAAAAAATACCAATCCCGTTCAATTATTTTCGTACAAATTCGGGGAAATGTTGAAATATTAGCCAGCCTTTTCCAAAAAACCCGATCCCGTTATTTGATTTGACCTTAACTCGATACTTCGCAACATATATTCAGTATTGTTGGCCTAAAAGCACAACAATTAACGTTTAAGTAAATTGAATGTTGTTGTTTATGTCGAGTTTTAACTGATTATTACTCTCGTTAAAATTTAATTGAAATTTAAAACAAACTGTGGTTTTCTATTCTGAATAAAAAACAATGAAATAAAGAGTTCAAAAAACACAAAAAATACAGCAAATGTTTGATAAATCTGACAGACACAAGTCAAAGGGCAACACTAGAAAAATAATACAAAATAACAATAATTTTTTGTTATTGGATATTTTAAAAATAATGTTCTCACTGAAATGATCAAAGATAATATCGACTTTATAAAACCCAACAGAGATAAATTATCAAATCATTTTGATATTATTATTGTTATTGTGACAACACTATTAAGCATAATAATCTTCGAACTAAGCTTCTGTTTTGTGAATATTTTCATTAATTATTAAAATGTTTGAAAATAAAAAAGATTGACATTAAGTTTATTTGCTTTTGTAATAAAATGCACTTTTGGGATAATTCGCGTGTTTTTCGAAACAAAAATCCCGTTATTTTAAATTTTATATGGATTTTTTTTGATGCTTAAAAATTTTTCAAGTAAAAAAATATTTTTTGAAGACTGTTTTTCTCTTTTTTACTTGGAAAAAATAAGCGATATTTATTACAAAAAAACGATTCCCAAAAATAATAAACAAAATAAATGCAAAAATCGGGACACCTCAGTACAGACTTTTGAAAAACAGTTTATAAAATTATAAATAAAATTAATTTATTTTTTTTACCAAAAATTCGTTTTGTGGAAATTTATCTGATATAAAAAATCAAATAAGCAAAACAGAACAAAAATTACGACAGAAAGAATATAGAAAATTGTTTATAAAAACAGAA